GACCTGCTGAGCTTTTCCAGCAACTTTGTTTTTGTCGGTGAAATGCTGTTTCTTTCCCTACAGGTGCTGCCTGATCCAAGCATTTCCAGCATTTTTCACTTTTTAACTTCAGATTTAAAGCATTTACAAGTAGATTCCTTTTGTTGCAACGTTTTGATGCTGATGAACTTGCCAGTAATTGCCAGAACAGGCTCCATGCTTGACCAGAAGATGGCAATGGGCGAATACAGATGTGAACATGGTTAAATGTTCTGGAATTTTGCATCAACTTTGGGGAATCAGTATGTACACAGAATATTTCCTTGGGAGATAAAGTAGGTGGGTACAGTCTATGACAGGACAGAGTATGCAAAGGCCGCTGAAAGAGACTATATGGGTTGTGGATTCCATGGCAGGGTAGATGTAGATGTGTTGTGGAAGGAGTGGGATTGATGAGATCCAACAGATCTTTTCTCTTTCCAAGTTTTATATTTTTATGTTTCTCGTTCATTCACAATTATGCTATTCCTTTCTTATGAGTTAACGCAGCGACTCATTGCCATTTACAGAATAGAAGGAGACCATTCAGTCCATTGTATCATTGCTGGTCAACAAAGATCTGAGCAAATTAATCTAATTTTCCAGCTCTTGGCTCGTAGCCAAATAGTGCTTGAATTTAAGTACTACTTAAATGTTTCGCGTATTTCCAACTCAACAGGTGACCTCTATTATACTTTTGTTACTTATTAACGACAAATCAAAACGATCAACAGCTCAGTTTCTTAATATAGCTGTCACTTAAGATGATTAATTTGACCTCAAACTTTGCTACATAGATGCTGCTGTTAGAAAAACATAGATAATCTGCTTTACAGAATTTGCTAAACGTTTCTGGCTTGACAGATACTGCAAACTCCATTAACCTTCTTCACAGCTCTGTAACAAAAATGACTTTTCCTCAATAAGCTTCTGTCAAGGGTGCAAATGACTTACTAAATGATTCCTTCTCTTAGGAATGCTGTCATTAAGTTGTGCAGTGATGTGGGCATCAATCCCTGTATGGGGAAGCAGGACCAGGGAAAGAAATCAGAGGGCCTGGTATTTCTCCTGTTTCTGGCTCCCTCATTCTCCTACCTTCCCCACAACCATGAATCCTCCCACCCTACATCCGTCAACATTGGGAACAGGAGTCAAAATATCTCCCAACCCTTCTTCCTGAAGGCTGCTTAAGATTTTCTGTAGGGCTAATCTTGATGTTTAGGAGCTATGTTTTCATTCTCATTAATTCATTTATTCAGCGATGCAGTAACACTCTACCTTCTGTGTTGATAGGACACATCTGGACTCTCACATATGCAGATTTAGAAGAATAGATTAATATTCTTAATAACTACCAAGCCTCCAATAAACAAAGCCACAACACACAAGGGAAGTGTCAATTTCTTAAGACACAGCCGTATTTAAGTTAGCACAAGACAACAGGTATAAGCTAGCAATTTTTTTCAAAAACCAAAACACATGACCATTTTAAACACAAAAAGCTATCACTATAACATATCTTCCACAGAATGGCAATGTCACAACAGACATATAATTACAAAATTAGAGGATTTTAAACAGGCAATTACTACTTTTTTTGTACTGCATCTTAGATCTCAATCTCAAGATTTAGATTAAACAGCTGACACAAATATTTTTAAACAATAACATCAACTATGTTTTCCCCACATATAGTAGGCCTTTAATGTTTACCAACCTAAGCTAGAGGTTCCACATTAATTTACAAGGAAGTCATTTCCTCAGTAATTTCTTGATTTCCCAACTCCCAGTTGGCCGAGTATTCCTGTGTTGACAGGTTTAAAACAGTTGACTCTCTTTTGCACTCACCATCGCCTCATAGTCCTATCTTGCAGTCTCTTGATCTCTTCCATTCTCTCTCGGGAATTTCTTAGCCGCTTGAGCTTTCTCCCTTCCTTCACCCCCTTGCAGCCTTCTCCTTTCTTCAATCCTGTCTTTTAACCTCTCTCTCTTCCCCCAACCTTGCAGTCAATCTTCTTTTTCTCTCTTTGCCCTCTCCTGCACTTGGAGGCCAACCCTGTCCCCTGCCCTCGCAGCAGCCTCCTCTATTACGCTTCTGCACCGCACCCCTGTAGCCTCTTCTGCTATCAATTTTTCATTCCCTGATCACAGAAGTCTCACCTTCTCCCATTTCTTTCCCCACATCCAGCCCTCGTAATCTTCCCTTGCTTCTCTCACCCTACTAACTCAAGCGTCTTGGCCCCTCAGCCTTCTGGCTGCTCCCATCACAGGCTGTTTCGGATCCATATTTGCTTCTGATATGTTCAGTATTGAGAGGGTGGGGTGCAGTGGTGAGCAGAATGCCCCAGAGCATTCCCTTCCCTTGCTGTTTTCCTAAAAAGGGAGAAGTATGGAGTGTCTGCACACCCCATCACCTGAGAGATACCGAATGGAAGCCCAGAAATACATGGAGGATCAACACATTGGCTGTTGGTCTTGAGCAAAGAGATAGCTTTGAGTGAACCCCGACTGTACTACAATCTTTACTGCCTTTGAAAACGGTTTTTGTGCTGGAGTTAACACGGAGTTATCTGAGCTCACCTCATCGTCCACTCTTGGCTTCTCGAAGTAGTTATGTCTGGACTTTTTCTCCTCGTCCCTTTCTCTTTCTCTTTCACGCTCCCGTTCTCTCTCCCTTTCTCTTTCCCTCTCCCTCTCCCGCTCTCGCTCTCGTTCTCTCTCCTTCTCACGATACTTCTCACGCTCCTTTTCTCGAACAACCTTCGCAGTTGTTGGCACATAGTCACCAATGTCATCGAAGATGCTGAAAGCAAACACAAAAAAGGTTCACATGGGAGTCCACAATGTTCTGCAACAAGTCTCTCTCTCTATCTATCAAGAACATTTTAAAAATATTACTACGCAAAGCACTCTGCACTCAAAAATTTGAAACAGACTGGGTTGAGTTGGGGTGGGGGGAGGAGACAAGACAGAGAAAAAGCCTTGATTTAGTGTATCATCTGAAGAACTCCTGTCAGTGCAGAGCTCCCTCAATACTGCACTGGGAGTGTCAGCCTAGATTTTGTGCTCGAGTATCTGGAGCGAAACTTGAAGCCATGACCTTGACTCAGCAGTGAAATCACGACCAACAGAATGGCAGCATTAACTGATGGAATTTCTGTCCAGTGTAGAGAGACTTCAGTTAGCTCTGGTCAGAATTAACATTGTGTGTTCTGGTCTTCAAGCAGTCAATTCAAATCAGACTCAACTGGTCAACATTCTTGGAGTTATAAAATATGGTGTATAACAGTGATTTCCATCCTTTATGTTGGATTCAATTTCGCACTTTAGGGCTGTCAGTAAGGCATGCTCTTCATTTACAGTCACTTGTCTCATTTGTGAACTGTTGTTGCAACACATTCATTGAAATCTCATTCTGCTCTCCGATTTCTCTCTGGACTTTTCTCTCTTTTGCCCTGCTTTGCACTTGTCATCTAAATTTGACTGACATGAAAATAATTCTTTATTAACTGACTTGATTATTTTAAGAAAGAACAAGTGCTTGTCACTGAAATAAACACCCGTATATGAAGGATGTCCCACGTCAATGGTCACATACACAGTTTTGGTTCAGACTGAAGCACATAACACAGGTAGTAAAGAGAATTATTATTTAAATCAGCAGTGCTGCCTTTCCACTGATATGTTAAACTGAGGCACGGTCTGCCCACCCAAAGATCCTGTACCATCATTTCATACAGTCAGACAGCATGGAAACAGATCCTACGGGTCCAACTAGTCCACGCTGACCATGTTCCCGAACTAAACTGGTCCTACGTGCCTGCATTTGCTCAATATCCTTCCAAATCATTCCTATTCATGTACTTATCCAAATGTCTTTCAACGTCATAACTGTACCTGCATCCACCACTTCCTTTGGCAATTCATTCTACACACTAACCACCCTGTATGAAAAAAACTTGCCCCCATTCCTTTATAAATGCTTTTCCTCTCACCTTAAAAATATGCGCCCTAGTTTTGAACTCCCCCACCTTAGGGAAAAGACCTTTGCTATTCACCTTATCTATGCCCCTCCTGATTTTATAAATCTCTAGAACATCATCTATACTCCAGTGAAAAATCTCCAAGTCTACTTTAATACTCAAACATTCTATTCCCGGCAAGACCCCAGTAAATCTTTCCTGAATCCTCTCCAATTTAATAATATCCTTCTGATAACAGGGCGACCAGAACTGCACACAGTACTCCAGAAGAGGCCTCACCAACATCCTGTACAACCTCATCATGATGTCCCAACCAATACACTCAAAGGTCTGAGTAACGAAGGCAAGCGTGCTAAACACCTTAACCACTCTGTCCACCTGTGACAGGGATTTCAAATTGAAGACGAGTAGGGAATTTGTCCTTATTATTTTGGTCAATGTCCTTCCTTTAGCCATCACCAACAAAACAAAGTGGTCACTCGATGAATTGCTGTTTTTGGCCACTAAAGTTAGAAAGAACCACTGAAAGGTTATAGCACAGAAAAGGGCCATTCAACCCAGCATATCAGCAATGGCTAAATAAACCAGTCTTGTATAGTTCCAGCATTATACCCCTGCTTTTGTATTCAAAACGTCACCGTGGTGGAAAGTATCCCATATACTTTCTTTACTATATTATCTGTATTTCTGCCACCTTTAGGGACCTATGCAGCTGTGCTCCAAGGTCCCTCTGTTCCTCAACCTCTCTCAATACCTTACCATTTATTGTGTATATTGCATTGCCTGCATAACAAGAGTGACTGTACTGTGAAAGATGTTGTATTAGCCTTGCATTGGCGAGTACCTCAGAATCAGAATGTGGTGGTTTTAGTCCCAGCCCAGAAATACTTGAATACTTGGAGCTAAGCTGTTGCTCACAGTAACTAGAGGGCATGTTGTACTCTCAGAGCTGTGTCTTTTACATAAGATAAAGAGAGTCCCAGACCTTCTGCTCAGGTGAACGTCAAAAAAACCTACTTAGAAAAAAACATGGTAGTTCTTTTGGGTGTGCAATATTTATCCCTTCGTTCTCACAAAATAAATTAGCTGGTCATCATCACAGAACTCTTCGTGAGAACCTGATATGTACAAGTAGCTGTGCTTCCTAAACCATGACTACACTTCGAAGATGCTGCATGGACTACAAAACATATTGGGCATTCTAAATCGATTGCTGCTTGTAATCAGTCACTTGGAACTTTAAAATATCAGTCCTTCAACTGCAAAAGATCTCTCTCTCTCTCTCATGCCTCCTAACGAAAATAAATTATCCATGTAAAAAAGTACCCAAGTACCTTATATCAGCTTCAGGTGGTCTCTTTTCATCGCCTCCTAATTTACCTGAGGAAAGAAATATGGGATTAAAAATGCAGCCTATTATGAAGTCAATTAATCGCTGGTGGAACAGAAAGACTTTCCCCTATTTCATATCTACAAAATTTAGAACAATTGTACTGCAGAGATTGCACTGATCGAGGATAAGCTATGAAACTAAGCTATCAAATTGGATTTCTTCCTCAATCCCTGATTCAATAACTCCTTTTAGGAAAGGAAATCTGCCATCCTCACCTGGTCAGGTCTCCAGACCCCCAGCAAAGTGGCTGAGCAAGCAACACAATTCAGAGGGCAATTATGGATGGGGAGCAAATGCTCACATTTCTCAAGTTAAAGCATGTGCTTGAATTTCTGATGACACCTATAATTGTTATGTAGCTAACGCGATAATAGTCTCAAATTGTTAGCAACAGATGCAGCAGTTGGAATCTCAGAACTAAGTAACTTAAGAGACCATTCAGTTTGTTGTACCTGTGCTGCTTCTTTGAAAGAGCACTCATATTGAGTCATCCTTTCACAGATTTTGTCCTTAGCCCTGCGAGTTCCACAAGGAACTATTCAATTCCTTTTTAAAATTTATAATTGCATCAGCTTCTACCAATTTTTCAGGGAAAGCGTTCCAGATCCCGACAAATATCAGGTGTCTTTTTATTTTTTGTGCTTTTTAAAACTGCGAACTGAAATGAGAAAGAACTATTCTAAATCCAACGTTTTAAAGGAATGCTGTACTTTTTAAAAAGCAAGTAACCTGACACTTACAGCACGTATGGGAGCCTGGGTGGCTTAGTTAGGTTGGCAAGCGACACTTAACACGAGGAGCCAGGGTTCAAGCCCCTGCCCAGGTGAATTTCTTTTATTGTCTTCAAGCAGTGGAAAAGACAAGATAGACAAAGATAAACTATTTCCACTGACTGGGGATTCTAGAACTAGGGGCATACTCTGGGAATTAGGGCCAGACTATTCTGGAGAGATGTTAGGAAGCACTTCTATACACAAAGAGTGGTAGGTATTTGGAACACATTTCCATAAACAGCGGTTGATGTTATATCAGTTGATAATTTTAAATCTGAGATGGATTACTTTTTGTTAAGCATACGTGTTGAGAGATCCAGGGCAATGGCACATATATGGAATTAGGCCACAGATCAGCCGCTATCTCATCGAATGGTGGAACAGGCTTGAAGAGCTGAATGACCTACTCCAGTTCTTGTGCTCCTCAGCATCACTCATACAGCAGTTTGAACAAGCAGTAATTGAAATTTGGATTGGAGACATAAAAATCTTTAACTTTTGTTACGACTCCAGGAATATGGAGGCTTGGCTTCCACTGCACTACCCAAGTGTCATGGCGCAGTAAAAAGATTCCTGCTCACGTCTCCTCTAGATGCTTTCCCAATGGTTTTAAAGTCTATGACCTCTCATTATTAACTACTAGCCAAAGGGAATAATATTTAGGTTATCAAAATCCTCCATCTTGAAAACCAGTTCCACCATATTCACTATTCCAAGGAGAACAGTTCTAGCTTTTCCACATTCTCGTTGTAACTGAAGGTTCTCATCCCTGGTAAGATGCTGGTAAACGTCTTCTGTACTTCAAGGCCTTAGATCTTTCCTGAAATGCAGCGCTCAGTAAAACATGGGCTTTGAAAGCCTGCTGCAGAAACTTGCTTTTTGTCAGATTGTTACCTTTATCTTTCTTCTTTAGCTTCTTGTTCCGAGTTCCCTGACGCAAGTACGACAGAATCTGAGTCAGCTTATTGATCACAATGTCATTTGTGGTCAAGGTTGTCTGTGCCTGAGGAGAAAATGCAGACAGATCATGACAAGGTGAATACGTTACATCAAAAGTACAAAGCATGCAGAAAAAAAAATCAACAAAGGACACAAATCCCATGAGGAACAAAGCTCCAGGTGCAGTACAACTGGCAGCTAGCAAGATTTTTCTCTGCACCCTACAAATTGACAGGATTTTTTCAACACTTCTCATTCGGTTGTAGATATTTTGTAGAAGTGCAAGCTGCTAATGGGCTATAAAGCATCTGAGACCGGAGCGAAATAGTGTTTTAAACTTAAATAAATTCGGTTACAAAGGTATGAAGATGAAGCTGGATAAAATGAACTGGAAAAATATAAGGGGTAGGTCAGCAGAAACGCAGTTGCAGACATGATGCACATATTTCATAACATTCAGCAAAGATACACTCCAGTGAGAAAGGCAGGCTCTAGGAGCAGGATACACCATCCACAGCTAACTGAGAAGGTTAAGAATAGTATGAATCTGAAAGTAAAAGTGTACAATTCTGTGATGATTAATGGTAGGTCAAAAGATTGGACAGAATTTAAAAACTTACAAAGAATGCCTAAAAATGTAGTAAGGATAAATTACAGCACAAAAGAAAATTAGTTAGAAAGAGAAAAACAGATAGTACGAGTTTCTATGAGTATTTAAAAAAGAAAGGCTATTTAAGCAAATTTTAAGCTCTGCAGCCAGTGAAACAAGAGAATAGTAGAAATAAGGAAGTGTTTAAAATGTTGAACATATATTTTGTTTCTTTCTTCACTGCAGAAGACAGAAGTAATAGGGAAATATGTGTAAATCAAGAGGTAAAAGGGAGGGAGGAACCTAAAAATCAATCAGGAAAGGGGCACTTGAGGCAACAGTTAAAACTAAAGGCTGACAAATTACTAGGACCTGATGGGCATCTCTCTCGAGTGTGAAAAGAAGTGGCTGCTGATGTAGTAGATGCTTTCGTTTTAATTTTCCAAAATCCCCTTGATCCTGAAAATGTGCCAAAAGTTTGGAAAATAGCAAATTTAACTCCTTTATTCAAGGAAGGAGAAAGAAAAATCAGAAACTACAGTACAGACCAGTTAGTTAAACGCTTCACAGTAAAAATGCCGAAATCTCCTGAAGCAATTATAGCAAGACACTTAGAATACCAAATACATCTCCATTAATTCTATTCTGTCACTATCATATAGATTTTCAAATCCACGTTCTGCATTTCACGTTAGTCAATAGGGGACACAGGGGTGCCCTTACATATGAGTTTGATATCATTGTCCTGAAGCCCAGCACTAACGTAAAACTGTGCAAGGCCTCAACACTCCTTTAAGACCTGTTGAGACAAGTTACAAATGTCTGATTGTATCACCTCCATTGTGGGACAGTCAGCTTTGCTCCTAATTAATGTTGTAGGTACATCTGTGTCTGCATATTCATCATCCAGATCCACAACATACGCCATGCGCCCTGGCAAAAACAGCTCATTTCGCTCTTGGGGCTTCATTTTAAACAGGATACGGTATGCATTACGCCCTGGAAAAGAACAAAAGACCAAGACTGAGTTAATAAGTTTAAATGCTGCCTTTGTAACTGAATGCAACATTGAAGATAAAAATGTACTATATAGGTGTCGGACTGCAATGAACACAGAGTGTGACAGTATGGGGACTGTGCTCAATTAGTATTACACATGGCCAGCAGAAGTGATATACTAATTCGGATGTAGATTGAGTTGTGCCTCTTGCAGTTATATCAGCCTAGGTTTCTTGATTACAACACTCATGATGTCCTATTAATAATGATGAATCAGTTGCTGTTATGAAGGGGATTAGGTCAGTTCTTTTATTCAGTTAGATCAAGGCCCAGAGAACCCCTCAATACCCTTGCCTAACAAAAATCTATCAAACTTAGTTTTGAAATTTTTTCTCAACTCCCCAGCCTCACCGGCATTTCTTGAGGAAGAGGCCGCTAGATTTCCACGATTCTTTGCAGAAAATAAAAGCTCACAGTGCGGGGGTAACACACTGACATGAATAGATGATTGGCTTGTTAAGAGGAAGCAGAGTAAGAATAAGTGGGTCTTTTACAGGCTGGCAGGATGTCAAGTGCGGTGTGCCAGAGGAGTCATTGCTGGGACCTTAACTCTTTACAAGTTATACAAGTGATTTAGATGAAGGGATTGAAGGTATGGTAGCTAAATTTGCTGACATTACAAAAAGAGGAAGGAACGCAAGTTGTGGAGGTGATATAACAAATCTACATATAGCTATAAACAGGTTAAGTGAATGGGCAAAGATCTGGCAAATGAAGTACAATGTGGAAAACCGTGAAGTTGTCCATTTTGGCAGAAAGCATTTTAAAAAAAAGCATATTATCCAAATGATGTGGGGCTGCAGAGCGGAGGTACGGACAGATCTGGGTATATTAATGCATGAATCACAAAAAGTAGTCAGGAAAGCTAACTGAATCTTATGTCTTATTGCGAGGGGAATTGAATGCAAGAGAAGGGAAGTTATGCTTTAGTTACACATAGCATTGGTGAGACTGCATGTGGAGTATTGTGTACAGCACTGGTCATAATGGAAGGACTTGGGAGCAGGTCAGAGAGGGTATACAAGACCTATACCTGGAGTTAGTAGGTTGCCCTGTGAGGAAAGGCTAGACCTGTATCTTCTGGAGTTTAGAAGAATCAGAGATGACTTAACTGAAACATAAAAGATTCTGAACGGATTTGACTAGGTGGATGCTGCACGGATGCTTCCTCTTGTGGGTGAATCCAGAGCTAGAGGTCATAGTTTTAAAAATAAGAGGACGCCCATTTAAAACAGAGCTGAGTAAACATTTTTTTTCCATAAGGGAGTCAAGTGTCTTTAGAATTCTTTTCTTCAAAAGGCAATGAGTGCAGAACATTTAAATATTTTTAGGTAGAGATTGATAGATCTTTGATGAAAGATTATTGAGGAGTTGTTTGGGGGAGTTTCGAGTTCTTTGAAGAAGTAGCATGCACTGGGGAGAAAAAGGAGCCAGTAGGTGCACTATACTTAGGATTTCCGGGAGGCATTTGATAAGGTGCCATATCAAAGTTTATTGCGGAAAATAATAGCTCATGGTGTCAGAGGTAACACATGAGCATGGATAGAAGTATAGCTGGTTGGCAGAAAACAGAGGTGTTACAGCGCTTGAGTCACAAAACATTAATATGCAGGTTCAGCATATCATCAAAAAGGCTAATGGGGGGTACACTATCCTTTATTGTGGGAGGAACTGAACACACGAGAAATGCTTCAGTTATACAGGGCATTGGTTAGACCATTTCTTTAACACAGTGTGCTCTTTGGATCTCTTATTTAATGAAGGGTATAAATGCATTTGGTGGCTCATAGGTTTACTAGATTCTCACCTACAGTGAGTGCATCATCTTATAGGCTGGACAGGCTGAGCTTGTTTCAACTGGAGCTTAGAGGAGTGAGAAGTCTCTTGAATGAAGCATGTAAGATCCTGAATGATCTTGACAAGAGAGGGGTTGTAGAAAGGTGGTTTCCTCTTATATGCAAGTCCAGAATTCAGGAGGGGATTCTAAAATTAGGAGTGGCATTTTAGGAATGGAGATAAGGAGAAATATTTTATATGAGGGTTGATGAAATGTTGGAACACTGCCTCATCAGACTTTGAAGGTAAAGTCATTGAACATTTTTAACTCAGAAGTGGATAGATTCTTGTTAGGCAAAGGAATCAAGGGTCATTGGAGATCAATGCTAATGTGGAATTTGAAACACAAACAGATCAGCCATAATCTTATTGAATGGCAGTGCACGCCTGTGTGGTCAAATGGTCTGTTTCCGCTCCCACATCGGGAGTACTGGGGCAAGGTGTCCAAAGCTGTTGCTGCTTACCTAATCGAGTCTTAAATTCAATTTTGTTTTCTGGATCTTCATCTTTTCTAAGAGAATTAAAACAAAATTAGTTAACATCCATATTGAAAGTTGTCTGGGCAATTCCCAGAGAGGATTATTTCACTTTAATATTCAAACATCTAACCAGTTCCCACTGATAGGCACTATTGAAAACATTCAAAGTCTCTCTTTTTTGCGTCTGATCATGTATATAACTGATAATGAAACTACAAGTTAGAGGTAGCACCAAATAAACTGTGTAAGCAATTCCTGCTACGTAGTGTCATAGGAACTGAATGTTAATTCTGATCTCTCTCTGCACCTTCTCTGCAGCTGTAACACTGTATTCTGCACTTCATTCTGCTACCCTGATGCACTTTCATAGAATCATAAAATCCCTACAGTGTGGAAACAAGCCATTCAGCCCATAAAGTCCACGCTGCCCCTCCAAACAGCATCCCACCCAGACCCATTCCCCTACCCTTTCCCTGTAGCCTGGCATTTCCCATATCTAATCCACCTAACTTACACACACCGGGACACTTTAAATTTAGCATGGCCAATCCACCTAACCTACACATCTTTGGACTGTGGGAGGAAACCGGAGCTCCCGGAGGAAAACCCACGCAGACGCAGGGGAGAATGTGCAAACTCCACACAGACAGTCGCCCAAGGGTGGAATCGAATCCGGGTCCCTGGCGCTGTGAAGCAGCTGTGATAACCACTGAGCCACTGTGCTGCCATAAACACGTAAATTTATGAGGCTCTGTAAGCACGAGTGTTTCATGATTAATACTGCTGAAATGGTACTGGGGATGGGAGGGGTTAGACCTTTTCCTTCAGACTTTTGCAGGTGAGTACATAAGGCTCAAGCCACAGTCGAAAGATGTAGAAGAATCAATGATGAACTTGAAGCTGTGAGTGTTCGTGTCACTTTGTATGGTATGATCTGCCTGTACAGCACGCAAAACAATACTTTCACTGTATCCCAGTACATGTGACAACTATAAATCAATCTATGAATCAAATCTGTTCCACAATTCAATCAGGTTTTAGGAGACCTGTATATTAATCCATCTGCACGTTAGTTGTATATCAAAATTCTGTCACTGTCAATCTGAAATTTTCAATTGGCCTAACGTCTCAAAATCTTTTGATGGGGAGAGAGTTCCAGATTTCTATTAGACTTTGTATAAAAATGTGCTGTCTGACATCAATCCTGAATGAACACAAAGTGCTGGAGAAACTCAACAGGTTTGACAGCACTAGAAGTGAATCTGTGTTCCAAAGATGAGCCATTGGACTCAAAATGTTAAGTCTGTTTCTCTCTCCACTGTTGCAGCTAGACCTGCAGAGTTTCTTCAGCACTTTATGATTTTTATTTCAGATTTCCAGTACATTCAGTATTTTACTATCACTCCTGAATTTCTTGGCTCGAAGTTTGTCCTAGATTTGCGCAAAGAAATGGTTTCTTTATGAGAACAAGTCACCTCTTGCTCTTCTAGACCAAAGAGACACAAGTCCAGTCAGTTCAACCTTTCCTCATAAGACAACATGCCCATTCCATTAATTTGGTAAACATTCTCTCAACTGAACTGTATAAGAATGGTAACTACCAACAAGGAAATAAACTTGTACGGCTACAGGGAGAGAGAGGAAATGGAAGTGGCTGGGTTAGTTTGCAGAGAGTCGGTATGGTCCGCATCACCTCTCACTGACCTCAGCCAATCTTACCTTGGTCAAAATCTTCTTGCTATACAACTCAAGTTTGCTAAACTAAAACACTGGTCTTCACACCCAATCCTGTTAAACTTTTCCTTTCACTTCTGCTGTGACATCATTTCAAATCACTTACTTCACTTCCTTCTGCACTTTCTCAATCATATCTTCTTCCTCCCTCTCTTTGCTGGTGATTTCAGCACGGACCTAATAAAAACATCAAACATAATTAGTTAGCTTGACCTGAAAATGTTCGTGAGTTCAATTTACTAACTAAAATCAAACAGGAGCCAGATGCAGCAAAAATTGAAAATATTGGTGAATAATTGCATTAATCCCTACTCTCCCAGCAGCTGAAGATACCTGGCTCCACCAAAACAGAGATTTCTTCCCCTAATTAAAAGGCAGAAGTTCATTACAACATTTGTCTTTCCTAAGATTGCTTTTCAAGTTTTAAATCCCATCTTCGCTTTGCTCCCCATTCCTGTTCCTTCGCATTTTCCAATTTTTGTTCTTCTTTTAGTTGCTGCATCCCACAATCAATCCTGAAGATGGGGCCTACTTTGGCATAATGCAGCCTTGACTCAGCCAATAAGTATCTGTCAGCACTCAGGTCAGCAAACCTGTAAGGTTTGACAGATGCTCTCCTGCAGGATCTATGGCTTGGCCACCAGTTCATGCTTGCTGCTCCAACGGGCAGCCAAGCTCATAGAAACATGGCAGTGAACAAAAAATTAATAAAAACCACAGGTGAAAGATTGCAAGTGTCTGATGCTGCAAAAGTCGTCTTACGTGGGATGATTGATAAAAGCAAAGACTCACAGATAAAAGAGAGCACTAGAACCAAGCCAGTGAACTCTTCCCCATTAACATTCTACTTTATTTACCTTGCCAGGAGGCATCATCTACACCACTAGATCCTGTGGCAGCTCATAAAAACGGGAATAAAGTACCACCATTTGACAACTTCGGTGTTTCAAAGCATTTTACTGCTAATTAATTACCTTTTAACAGTTGTTATTACTGTTGAAGAGAAAGGCAGTAGTCAATTTCCAGATAGCAAGCTCCTTCAGGTATCTATGACCAGATAATCTATTATTTTTGAGTATTAGTTGATAGGAAATTGGGAGAACTCCCCTAGTGCTTTTCAGTGTTGGGATCTTTTACGTTCATTTGAGGGACCAAAATGGGCCTAGGTTTAAATCATTTTCATCTAAAAAAATGGACAGTACAGCATTTCTTCAGCACTGCAGTGAAGACTCAGTTTAGATTATACAAAGTCTCTGCAGTGGAACTTGAACCTGCAGACTTCTGACTGAGGCATGGGAGACCTTAAAGAACAAGTGACTCAAATCATTTGCATTTCCAGAGAAACTGATGGTAGAACTGCACATCGACGTCAGCTGCATCTAAGTAACCTGGAAGGTGGCACAATGCAGTTTTCATCTCTGGCTTTAGCCAGTATTTTTCACTTCAAGAGGACAGGTGCTGACCTTTTGCAGTAGGGCAAAGTCCAACCCTTTCACCAAGTGAGTGTGCTCCATGTCACCACCCAAGAACTTGGATTCCTGAATCAGTTGGCGCCGCTTCTCTGCAGCGGACTTATCCCTGAGAGAGAAAGAAACAAAGAAATGAACCGCAGGAAATGCCTGATGAGTTTCAGAACCATGAGGATGCATGTTTGCTCAAAGCGCTTTTAAACCAAGAAAATAAACTTATAGACAACTGCAGCTTACAAAAAGTAACTGACAATTTTAGAACATCACCACTGTGATGTCCAAAGTTGGGCCCCAAAAGACTCAGAACAAAAGAAATTACATTTTGAATTGTTCTGAGTGGCACTAAGCTTCACCAGTTTTCTCTACACACTGAGAAAGTTATGCCAGCCAAATGGGATGTGGATGTTTCTCAGGCATCAGCAGCCTCTTTTTAGGGAGAGAAAAATGAGAAATCGTCCCAGCACTTGACGTGGGTTCACGCCAACATTGTTTTCCTATTACGGTCATTATATATTAGCATGTTCCTCTGCCTAGTCACCATTTACTGAGCAGTTTCCAGCTCTTCTGATCAGCAGCTTTATTTAAACTAGTCAGCGCTGAGTACCAACTGTATACCTTTACCACTTATAATGGGACATAGAAGGGCTGAAGTAAAAAAGCAACAAGTGAATATTAGCAAGGCATTACTTACACAGAATGGTTCTTGCATTTAGTGCACTTTAACAGGATGGGGAAACTAGTCTAAGGACAAGAAACTTGTCTAAGGACAACTAGTTCTGAAATGCCAAACAACCGTGAGCCATGATCTTATTGAAAGATGGAGCATGTTTGAGGGACCAAGCGGCCTATTTCTGTGCCTAATTCACTGCAATTGTCAACTTTTCAAATTGTTGTTATTTTAAACATATAATTGTTGTGGCTTACTGGCCAATATAAAGCTTGTTTTCAAAGTTGTACAGACCAATGCTCCCTGTAAAATTTTGCTACTGTACACGGCCAGTGTTATTCAATGCATAGTACTGCTGCTATTTTTGCAAACCACCTAGCAAAGTAAAAGGTGGGCAGGGAGCCTTCAGCGTGCCGCAGATGTATACATGAGCAGTTTAGCAGGAGCTTAGTGAAGGGCTTTGTTAGAGCCATGGAAGGCTTAATGGAGTCAATTATGCTTTGACACTAGCATGCACCGCCTGGGAGAGCAGCTGAGGCAGGAAACCTCAAACTTTATAAAGTACTTGGATGAGCACTTGAAATATCATAATATTCAAGGCTATGGGCCTGATGCTGGGAAGTGGGACTAATGCAGGTAGTAGTATATTTTGACAGTACAGACTCGATGGGCTGAAGTGTCTGACTGTAGGATACACTTACGCCTCTGCAGTTGGTCCAACTGCTCTATAGTTTGCTGTTGTGCTGATGAGCTCTGTTTCTTCGTAATCTTTGTTCACACCATCTCGTCTCTCTCTTGCTCGATCTCGGTACTTCTCTGCTAGCTCGCGCTCTCGCTCCAACTCCTGCTGTCGCAGCTTTGCGTAATAGCTGAAAGTGAATCAAAGGAAGGTTCAGCTGAATGACAGTACACAGAGACTTCCAGCTAGTTCACACTGGTCCAAATCAGGTTCAGCACGCTGGGGACAAGAAGTGCCTTCCCCCTCTATCCGTCGATTACCTACAATGGTTCCAAACCAAGTGTGTTCAAACTGCCTCACATCTAGTTCCAGGTGGATGAGGATTCACATTATAAAACAGCCCTTAATTGAAAATGAGAAATTGGACACTGGCTCACTTGAAGATTGCACACAAGGCACATCACACAGGAGGCACAGAGGAAACAGCTTTAGTCTTCATCTGTACCATGCTGAAATCATAGAATCCCTACAGTGTGAAAACAGGGCCTTTGGCCCAACAAGTCCACACTGACCGGTTCCCCAAAAAACCCAACTAATCTACACATCCCTGAACACTACAGGCAATTTAGCACGGCCAATCCATCTAGCCCATACACCTTTGGATTGTGGGAGGAAACCAGAGCACCTGGAGGAAACCCACGCAGACACAGGGAGAATATGCAAACGCCACATAGTCGCCCGAGAGTGAAATTGAACCTGGGTTCCTGGCGCTGTGAGGAAGCAGTGCTAACCCCTAAGCAAAAGTGCTGCCGAATGTTGTTTGAAACAGCAGTTGAAGCAGCTTCAATTGTGGTTTTGTACTTGGAATGCATCGATACTTGGAAGGGATAGGAAGAATTACCACCTGTTCACCAACCCATCTAGTTTATTAGTAACTGCATTAATATTGCTGACAAAAAGTTACATTAAAAAGGTGTTATATTTGTTGTCTGAACAATAAGAACACGAGAACATAAAAACTAGGAGTAGGCAATTCAGCCCCTTAAGTCTACTCCATTTGATATGACCACTGCTGATGTCATTGCTGCCTCAACTCCACCTTCTTGCCCGCTCTTCATCATCCTTCAACCTGCAATACTAACAGTAGTTTAATTGACTGTACAAACCAGTCCCTTTGTAGAACAACAGTTTATCCCGTTCCCAATTCTACAATAAACATGCATAAGTGCAGTTATTGTGAAGTACTGAGGAAACTGTAGCGATTAAAGGCAGACCTGAAGCATAGGCTTTGTGACCATTTTGCAGAACATCTACGTTCTGCTCGCAAAAAAGACCCTGAACTACCTGTTGCCTGCCACTTCAACGCACCAGCCACTTCAACGCACCACCCTGCTTCCTCGCCAACATCTGTGTCTCTGGTTTGCTGCAGTGTTCCAGTGAAGCCCAACGCAAGCTGGAGGAACAGCACCTCATTTTCCGCTTGGGGACCCTAAAGTCCTCCAGACTCAATATTGAGTTCAATAATTTTAGGGCTGAAACTCTCCCATGTCCCAGCCCTCCACCCCACACACCAGGCCTTGTTACCAGAGACAACAAGGTGCAGGGCTGGATGAACACAGCAGGCCAAGCAGCATCATAGGAGCAGAGAGGCTGACGTTTCGGGCCTAGACCCTTCATCAGAAAAGGGGGAGGGGAAGGGGGTTTTGAAATAAATAGGGAGAGAGTGGGAGGCGGATAGAAGAGGGATCAGTGGGAGAGAGATCCCTTGAGGTTTGTCCGGAGGGAGGAGGGTAACTTCTTCAGGTTAGGCATCCTTAGAAGAGGCTTCGCAGTGGGGTTAAAATCGAATCAGAGATAGTAGGAACTGCAGATGCTGGAGAATCCGAGACAACAAGGTGCAGGGCTGGATGAACACAGCAGGCCAAGCAGCATCATAGGAGCAGAGAGGCTGACGTTTCGGGCCTAGACCCTTCATCAGAAAAGGGGGTGGCCTTGTTACCACATAGCCTGCCATTACACACTCCCTGTTGTTAGTCACTAACAGTTCCCATTAACAACTATTCACCC